ATATAGTATAATTAATGAAATAATTAATTGTAAAAAAGTAAAATATATAGAATAAATTATTTTAAATATAAGAGTAAAAAAGCTATGCATATATATATATATATATATATATATATATATTATATATGCATAGCTTTTTTACTCTTATATTTAAAATAATTTATTCTATATATTTTACTTTTTTACAATGAATTATTTCATTAATTATACTATATTATTTATTAAACATCTTATGTATTAAAATATAATTATCCAAATATAGATATGTTATCTCTATAATTAAAATATAGATGTTATCTCTATAATTTTTTTTTGTTTTTTTAGCAATGTACGAACATAAGATCTTTGTACAAGGTATGATTTGGGATATCAATTCATATGATCAGTGGGGGTAAGATTTTTACATATAATTTATAAGTTTCCTTATCCATGCATTGGGATGATTTATAGAAATCCTTTAACATAATTCTTTTAATGTTTAAGTGTGGAATTGGGGAAACAGTTAGCCAAAGCTATCGAACCGGAGTTGGAAAGCACAGAAACTGTAACAACTCACGATTCATCGACGAATGGCTTAATCGCGTTTGCTAAACGTCATAGGACCTAAAAGCTTATTTAGTGATATACTCTAAAGGAAACATTTTTAAAAAATGCAACTAAACATGAGTACTTCGGTTGTAAGTTCTATTATTATATCAGAGTTTATGTATATATTTTATATAGTTTATGGGAAAAAATTGTGATGATCACATATATAACTTGTAATATCTTTAATCTCTTCAGAGATAAATTTATTGAAGTCAAAAGAAAAACGAATTTCATTTTAGCTCGACATGAATATAATGTGATTTTTCAATCATATATCAAGATGTTTTTCTTTGTTGTGGAATCTTGTAGTGAATATTTATTCACGTAATGTTTGTTATATTTTTATCGACAATATTCGAATAAGAACAAAAATTAAAAGCATCTAGATACATACATATATGTCAATGTCTTTGAAAAGTTTAATTTATTACGACAAAATTATCTAATTCTTTTAATTCAAACTTTATGTAACATATGTACAATGTCTCAATAAAAAAGTAATAAAAGTGCAAGATTTAATTTTTTAATAAAAGGCATAATTTATTCGAAAAATGCAGATATTTTTATTTTAGTATAAAATATATTATGTGCCGAATTAAGTGTGATTTCGAGAATATAGAACAGAGTCAAAATAATATTAATCTCATATCATTCTCACCAAAAAATGACCAATATTTGGTCAAAATGACATCAGATTAATATTATTTTGATTATCTACCTAGATTATTTATAATTTATTAGAACGTTTGCTTTTGTATACAGATAAAACCCGATTGCACACAGCTTAATCGGACATGGAATGTAATATTCATTCATTATTGGTTAATTCTAGTTGGATCTAATAATTCACTAGATAAAGCAGAGCACCGATTGGTGGTGTCCAATCGTGCCATGTGTAATCGGGACACTCCTTTGTATACATTTATTTAACGAAATTCTTTTAATATATGTAATAAATAAGAAATAAATAAAGTTATTTACAAAATAAAAGCTTAATTTTATTTTTATGAAAGATAATAAAGAAGATTTAATAGGTAAAGACTATTCTCTACAATTGAATAAAGCTGGCTATACACACTTTTCGTAACAGTAATCGTAAGATGTAACGTAAAAATTGACCAATTGCGATTCATAAAAATGGTGACCTTATGATTCTCAACATGATTGGTCAATTCTTACGTTACGTCTTATGGCTCCTGCACACCGGACGCAGTAATGCTTGCCGCGCTACAGCCAATCAATATGTTGTTTTTCCGTAAGAGCTAGAAAGTTATTACGAAAAGCAGCATATTGATTGGCTGTCGCGCGAACTTCCGCCACGCGGCAAGCATTACCGCGTCCTGTGTGCAAGAGCCATAATTGGTTAATTCCTATATTCACGACGCTTACGTAAATGTAGAATATAAAAAGAATAGACCATATGTTTCGCCTTCTCGCCGCACGAGGTCTCCAAAATCAAAACAGAATTTGTTTTTGCTGCTGTCGGCCTTTAAACAAAAAAGTATTAATTATAAACAAATCAAAATATAATAATTCAAATAACATTCAAAAAGAAGCAATAACCAACTATTATATAAGTAAATCAAATACTTTATATTGTGTGTATATAATATCAGAAGAGACAAGTGATAATTATATCATTGATATTTGAGCGATTCTGACATAATTTCTTATATAATTATGATAAATAGTAATGTTATGTGATATAGTTTGTTACGTATAATCATATTATTGGTGAACTAACGTTAATGTAACATAACTTCAATTTTAAATTTGTCAGAAATTGCCATGTGATGAGTGATTGAAATTTAACCTGTAAATTTTTGTTTGATGTCATCTATATAAAGTTGGGGAAAAGATTTGTAACATAAGACAGAAAATAGTTAATTAAAAGTAGGAAAATTAAGAGAGGATTAATATGTATGAAAGAGTAGAAACAATATGTCATATACTTATTTTATTCCACAGGAGAGGCTGAAGAGACTGCGACAATCTCTAAAAAAAATTTTCTTGTAAACCTATAAAACCCATAAAAAAAACTATATGTGATTATTATATGTTTATGTTGACTTTTTCTTTGAAGCAATCTTATTGATTTGAGTGAGTACATTGTCTGAGTAAGTTCAATTATTTATATTTATAATATATATTTAATCATTTATTCTAAAGTTATTTGCAGAAAATATTTTTTAGAATTCTATAGCATTTTGGTTCAACCATGGGATCAGATCATGATCAGGTATTTTTACAAATACTTCATGAGGAAAAGAACATTGTTAATTTTTTAAATGTCTTCTTTGGATTTTTGTACAGATGGTGAATATCCTATCGAAAAGATTAATACTTGTTATTTTCTAATACCTCAAACATCATTCTCAATAATTATATTTCTTGCTATGATATTTTGTGATTACAGCACAGACTTCTATATTGAATCAAATTCAGAACAAAAATTGGGCTTTCCACCTGGTGTGGCAGAGAAACTTGTATTGAACAGCATGTACAAATGGAAAAATATTTCACCAGTTATAAAGGAGTCCACACACGATATAGTCAACAACAGTATATCTGAATCAAATGAATTAACTGCAATGCAAAATGTTAATTGCAGGTTTAGTCCTCCAGTTGCTCAAGAAATTGAGATTGATTCTTGTAATAAACTTGACACTACAAATAGACTTACTACACAATTGGTTGAAACAGACCATACTTCTGACAGTTATAATGGCGCTATAAGAGATAACTATATTTGGACCCAGACTCTTGATGATTTGGATGTATTGGTAAAAATACCAGAACATATAAAAACGCCCAAACAAACCAGAGTTAACATTAATTCGGATGAGATCAAAATCGACATCAAGCCCTGTAGTGCTATGAAAGATTCTGAATGGGATAACATTTTCAATAGCAAACTTAGTTTTAAAGTTCGAAGAGACGAATCTGTATGGAGCATTGTATCTGGAAAACATATCAGCGTGCGTTTACAACAGATGAGACACTATTTTGAGCATCATTCATCATATATCTAACTTGCAATACATAATTATTTGTCTATAATCTTGCAGATTCATCTCGAGAAGGCTGTGGAAAGATGGTGGGAAGCCTTAATAGTCGATGAACCGAAAATTGAATTAAACAAAATTGATTGTACCAAATATTTCGACGATATGGCACAGGAGGAACAAATGAAAGTGCAGGAATTGATGTGGAATCATCAACAGAAACTCTTGGGCAAACCAACGTCCGAACAAATTGTAAGATTTATTAATTATAAATCAGCATTATAAGGCAATGTTTTCCCATAATTTACAAATAGTATTTGTAGAAAATGGAAGCTACTCTGAAACAAGCATGGGATGCAAAAGGATCACCCTTTCAGGGTACGCCTTACGATTCTTCCATTTTAAAATTTAACTGATATCATGTAACATCTTTAATTATTATATTGTATACTTTATCTGCGTCAGATATATCGAAAGTGTAAGATTATATTTATGAATTGTATTATATTTATAAATAATTTTACAATATTTGGATGTATATCAATTCTCTCACCCGATCGACAATATCCTTGTATTTTATACGAACTTGTTTGCCTGGTATTAATATATACTTTTTATATGTTATAATTCTTATATAGGAGCTCTCTATCTGTTATGAAAATATTACAAATTAAACAAATTAAAATTAAATTACGAATTAAATAATAATTCTTAAATCTTTGTGTAATTTCGTTTTCTAAAAATTTATCTTTTCATTTTATCTTTTGACCTTCTCAAAGTGCGATATTCACAGCATTTTCAAAATCAGACCAGAAAACTTAGAAACTGATTTCAACTAGAAGATATGTAAAACAATTTCCTTTCTTTTTTTATTTTATTAGCATACAACAGACCTGTTTTTCCCGCGTTATAACTGCACGATCGCATTTTCCTACGCAACGATCGCGTCGAACAGCGGTATTTCCTTTTGAGAAGTAGCGTCCGCGAGAGCAAAGTAACGCTTCTTGATCCCCCTCGCCCTGCCACAGCGACACCCTTCGAAATCGTGAGCGATTCAAGAGTTCGCAGAATGCGAGGAATCCTACGCTTTTCACCGGCGTTTACGTTCAGTTTATCTCACGGTGGTGGGATCGTTCAGCATGGGGACGAAGCAGGAGCGGTTCATAGATGCAGGTACACACAAGCCACGAAGAAACTGTTCTCATTTCGTACAAAGTTTACGACTTTCCTAAGCTTTTACTTCGACTACGTCTGAACGGGTTTTTCACGAACGGGCTGTAACGGTACTGCGTTAACACGTGAACATATGTTTCCATATCGACAGGAATTAGCCTTTGCTTTTGCAGAAGCACCTGCTATCAGAGTCGCTATCCTGCTGATTGATGTAATGAGTGTTGAAAATTTCTAAGGAAATTCAAACGAGACTAACGCAAATCGCCTGGACTTTCGATACACCACGAGGACGCAATGCAAGATGCTGCAATAACAAGAACCAAAACTGATATATTTTTAGAAAATTTAACTTTCAGAACTATCGAGATGATACAGAAGAATTTATCCTATGTCAATCGCCGCGTCTTTAATCTTAGAAGTTTAAACATCCGAAAGTTACGTAAATTCTAAATCATTAATTTTATCCAGCGCGCATTTTTATTTGCTAGCTGAAAATTATTAGAATTTAATGCTTCTTCTTTTAATCGATGTAGAGAACATCGAGAGATATGAATCTATTAACGTTTTTGCGATTCAATGAAGCTGAAAAAAGTTATAGTGAAATAACAAAATATGTTTTTAAGAACGATAATGTTAGAAAAGTTGGTCTGAGTAAATACTTATGTTTAGGGGTCTAGAGAAATTGTTTAGGGGTCTTAAGAAATTCGAACTTAGCGGAATTTTAATCATTTCCCAAGTAAACAAAGATGCTGAACATAACATGCGAACATTTAATGTATATTGCATAATACTATTGGAAGTGGAAAACGTATTTACAATATGCTTGTTTTAAAAAATACCCATTTATTACGCTATAATTTCAATCAAAACATTTACTTTTTAAAAAATTCCGGATTAATTGCGTTCTGTTTCCAGTAAAGTAGACAACAATTTTCATAGCATCAGAATATCGCTGCTATATTGCCACGACTTTCATGGCACCAGATGACTTTTTCATCTGATATTACTGAAGAAATTTTAATCGCATGAGGACGCATCCCTGCGTACTCGCGCTAATCATCAAGCAGATAATATGCCGAAATATGCCTGGGTTCAATCGCTAGCCAATTCAATGGCGTTACTTTCATAACGATAACGTCGAACAGTACATCGATATCGGGATCGCTCGCTGCGGAAGGACGCGATCCTCGGCAGGACCGCGAGGAATTCCTACGAAAAAGCAGCCGCGGACATCGGGCCGGCGCTGCTTTGCCGAAATAAAGACACGCTGTTCCTCTTCACGGCTGCATGCTCGTCGGCTGCCAGGTGCAGCGTAAAGCAGCAACAGGTCGACTCGAGCAGCGCCGTGCGGTGGGGCGCGCGTTGAGCACCGCTGCAGGTAAAACACAGGTAATATACCTGCCTGTGCCCGAGGCTACGTCCATCCCCACCTGGAGTCCAGTTCTCTCTCCTCGCTCTCTCGGCTCCCTCGGCTTTCCTTCGAGGTGAGTCGGGTGAGCCGTTAGTGTCGTTGCCGTTGCGAGAGAATGGTGATTGTGATGTGCATCGCGGACGAGCGCGCACCCTGAAGGACGGTAAAGTACGCGCATAATTACCCGGAGGCGTCTCCCTCTAGACAGCCACCCCAGTGACCGATTCGACCGTCTTCGACGAGTTCCCCGTCGTCGGCTTCGTCCTCGTTCTTCATCCTGGTGCTACTCCCGCGGGCTCGTAATAAAGAAGGGAAGAAAGAGCGACGCGCCGCGTTCTCCAGAGCGTTTATCGCGGTCCAGCTCCTCTTCGTCGTGGCACGCTTCGCAGCTTTTCCTGCGCTCGTCACGCGGATGCCCGTAGATAGTACCAGCACGTAGTCGGTGATAGTATAACACGTCGCGGCCGAGTGTGAGGTGAAGCTAACGGAAGACGAGCAGCCGAGGACATATCGTGAAACTGAGGACGAGAAAGAGAGAGAGAGAGGAAGAAAGAGACTCACAGATATTACCAAGATGCCCTGCTCCGCGGTGACGCTGTCCCTCGCCACCATAACCGGTATCATCGCCACTGCCCTGCTGGCGATCGCCTTCTCCACGGACAACTGGCTCTACACCGAGGTCAAGCGCGCCCAAATTCAGGTTCGTAGGTCTGCGAGGAGAGCATGATATCTATGGGAGAGCTCGCGACTCGTCGATCCTTCTTGTCTCGTCTCGTTTTCGCGAAGAGCACACGATCATGTATAATTAATTCTATCAACAAGAAGGCTCTCGCTTCTTAAGTGGCACGGAGAAATTCGACCGCGAAGTTTTGACGTAAATATTCTGAACTTTGGAGTCGGGCGCAGCGAGCTCTCCCGTGTCGGTGCTTCGCGGCAGGGAAAAGGACGCAGCGTGAGAGTTGAAGGCCGAAGGGTACGACGACCGTGCACGTAGTACGGCTAACGCAGAGTGTGCGTACCTTTCAGTTAGGGCCGGTGTTTCAACAGCAGTTTAAACACAGATTCGAGTCTTAACTCCGTTCAAACGTATCCAACACATTAATGCTCGTTTCTAACGTCGATTAAACTTAACTTGAGTTCAAACTTGAGTTCAAACAAAAACTTAGATTCAGATTAAAATTTAACTGATGTTGGTAGAATCGTGCATAAGGACCGATGTCTCAATACTAGTTTAAACTTAGGTTTGAATTATTATTATTATTAGAGATTTAAGTACTATGAAACTACTTAGATCTATCACTGAAAGAAATTATCCGATACAAAATGATCAAACGGATATTCCCGATCAAATTCTGATTAATTTTTATATCCAATCAGGATACCCGATTAAGCTTAATCGAATACTTCCGATCGTAATGACATTTTATCAGATAAACTGATAAAAAAATGAAGAACTAATGTTTCCGATCGAATTTAAAAATTGATCAGATTTTGATCGGAAATATACGTTTGTTAATTTTATATCAGATAATTTCCCTGAATATAGGTTTAAAGTTAAGTTTAAACTATTATTGATCTACTATTAAAAAAGTGACTCTAATAAAACTGAATTTAAACTTAAATCTAAGTTTAAGATATTATTGAAAAATAAGCTCTAAATATAAATATTTAATCGAAGGTTCCCATCTATTGTCCTAACATTGTCATTAGAAGAAAACGCGGATTCAATTAAATTTTGACTGGATGGAATTAGTAATATTCGTGAAAATAATCGTGGAAAAAAATGAAAGCAAAATAACTTCGATCAAATATATCGAGTGAAAAGAGATATTTGTTATTCCTATGTCACAAAATACCTCGATAACGTGGTCAGATTGAGACTGCGTTGCGAAAACATAATGACGCATATGATACGTGCCTGCAAGTTGCTAAGCACATATCGCGAATTTAATTTACGCTCCTGCGTATATACGTTTGTACACTTGTATTATAGATTTCTATCGCGATAACAATGACGAAAGGTATTTATAAGCGAGTTCTTCGACACGCGAAACTATTCGCTTTACAGCAATACAAGTAGTGGATTATTATTTACACAGACATAGAGTATGCTTTTGTCTCGTGTACTTCGAAACAACCCTAATAGAAGTTAACCTCGTGCGTATCTAGTCAAGAGGGGGTAAATTTATGTCTAGTATCGTTACCAGTCTCTAACATTCACTTTTAGTAGCTAGATAAATCAATTAGCTGATGGTTAAACAAAAGGAGTTACAGTTGCAATGATTACAAGAATTATACAGAAAGAGTATACGATGAAAAATCAGAACTAATTATCAATCAGTAATGTAACGCTTACTTCTCTGTATTCTTAAGATTTTTATAAAATATCCAGACAGTACATATTTCTCTCTAAAAGACGTCTTATGTATGCTTCTATCAACATCGATAAAATCTGAACTTGAGTTTCAATCTTTGTTTGAATAGAGTTTAAATTCAAACTAAGATTTAATCGACATAGCTAAGAACGGGCATCATTAAAGACGTCTTAAACATGTCTAAAACCATAGAACATTTTTTAGATGTCTTTAGGACAGCTTTTAGAAGTTCGTACTGTCTGCGTAACATATCTTCATAATTTATATTTGCTACTTAATTTTTTTAATGCTAGTTATAATATATATAATAACTAGATTATATATTTTAGGATAGTGTCACTTACTCTATCATATTTCATATAACAGCTAGACACCGACTAAATTTCACAAACCAATTGTATATTTCAATGAATGATCACTCAGTAACGAGCTAATAACAAGCTATTTAAAGAATTTAATCTAGTTTATGCTGGCTCGCTATTAGCTCCTAAGTCTCAGGTCGGCCAGTTATATTTCTATTCGGGAAACTCTTCTAACTCCACAAGCGAGGGAGGTGCGCTCGCACGACAGGTGTTCATTGAGAGAAATTCCTCTGAAATTCACGCGAAACGAGAGCGATTTCCCGCACATATATTGCAGACGCACATATATTGTCGACTCTCGCGAGGTTTCCCATTAATGTATCAGAAATTACCGTCGACGTTTCATTCATTGTCGCTCGTTTCTTTGTTTATCCGCTTCTTCTTTATCAGCACGATATATTCATCACCTCATAAGTAAGCGGTTAACACAATGAGTTTTAACGTCAAACTTTTCACACTTATTTACTAGTAAACTTCGATGACGCGATTTCCCGAGAAATTTTGTGTGTATGCACATCGAAAAAAAAAGATTTGATAATAACTCATTAAATCTGGATAATAGTTATCAAATGCTTTGATGAAACAGTTTTTACTAAACGTGTAAGTGAATATAATGAAATAATTTAGAGTAAGTATTAACAAATAACTTCAAAAAAGCTTGGGTGACTATTGTCAATTTATATTTATGTGTCACCAAATAGTTTGTTAAATAAAATCATATTGTTTAGTAATATTTGCCACATCATGTAATAAATATATGAAATGACCAAATACAATACTTTGGTTACTAATAGTCATACTATTTAACAATTACTTGGTATTATTTACCATTTAATCGATTCAACTGAACAAAGAATTTACAAATTATTTCGTAATTATTACCAAACGATTGCGTGAAGTAATTGTTATTCTAATATATTTGTAATACTATGTATAATTACCAAATGTTGCACCGAAACGCTCAACTAAATGTATTGTTAACAAGACTTTCTTTTAGCACATTAAGGTTTAACGTCAAATTCTTCGTACTTATTCACCAGTAAACTTCGTTGACGTATGATATCTTCCGAGAAGTTCTGCGTGCATTTTAAACAGCGTTTTATCACGATCGTTTTAAAATGGAGTCTTATTCCGTCGTAACAAGAATTCGTGTCGCATCGGTCGTATACGTAATCCGCGGAGGCACTAATAGAAGATCGAAGGGGACTGTGAAAGCGTGGGACGATGATGATGACAACGGAATTTAAATGACAGCCTCCTCGGCACTGTGTTCATCGTACAGCAGCGTCGACGTCGCTCTCGTGACTAATTCGGCTCGGTCGTGTACGCGCTCCTGATGCGCTCTCCCGGCGCAGTCCCTGTTCATACTTTCATTAGATCGAGGCACGCGGATAGTCCCGGCCTGGATGAAAGCTTCGATCATTTATGAAAATGGATACCTTCCTGTCCGAAGTCGGAGCACATCCGGATCTCGTTACTCCTGCGAGGGGCCGAAGCTGTTATCAGCCGGCGTTGCTCGTGAATGTAATTCCTTCCACTTCCTCCACATCGCCGATCCTTAAGGATGCGAGGCTTCCATAAAGAGGCCCTACAGCTGCGGTAGTTGCAGTTTGCGCGAAGGTTCGCAACTCCTTTCCTTGGATTTTGTTGACAGCGATACTAATCTCGTATCTTTTTAGATTCCGGTAACGACACGTAATTATCTCAAGTACTTCTGCTTTTTGGACACGCCGCTAAGTCATAAGGAAAGTTTATAAGAAACTCAGTTTCACGCGTTTCGTCAATCAAATTGCGAAGCAATTGAAAGAAAAAGTCTTGTAAGAAGTTAACAAATACATTTGGTTGAACGCTACAATGAAGTATTTGGTAATTAATACCATAAATGTAGTAATAGTTACGTCACAATCGTTTGGTAATAATTACAAAAAAATTAGTAAAACAAATTCTTCATCTAATGGAACCAATGAAATGTTTTGGTAATCAATACCGAATAAATTGGTAGTAATTACTAAATAGTTTGACAATGAAGTATTTGATCGTTTCGTATATTTACTACATAATGAAATAAATATTACTAACTAATATGGTTTTATTTGACAAATTATTTGGTGATATATACTACATAAGTTGGTAACTAAGCCTTGGCAACAGATACCACATTAAAGTTATACTTAATATTAATACTTGCTAAATTATTTAACTATATTATAACTAAATGTTTAGTTGAAACTATTTTGCTACAATATCTAATAATTATTATCCATGCTTGATGATTATTACTAAATTTTCCTTCAGTTTACAATTAAAATTAGGGATTTTTTAATGAAGACTATTAATTAGAAGATGTTAATATTAATTACAAGCAAAAACGCCACTAATCAGTAAGGAGATTCTGCAATCCGCGATGAGAAGTGTTCTTCTAAGAAAAATGTGCCCTCTTCCTTGAGAAGAGGAAGGTAGGAAGTGGAATTCCCCGTGACTTCCGCCGTCCTTGTCCTGGGTGAATGTACGGGTCGCAGGTCAAGTTTACCCTCTAGGGTCATTGGGAGTCAAACGGATGTTGTTCTCACGAACTTACCGTGGAATCTGCTCCGAGAGAATGACAGCAGTATTTGGGACGGGGAAGGATGAAGGGACGTACTAGGGAATACTACAATGGCAAAGACTGTTTAATTGAAGCAATCTTCGTTTGTTCGTTCCTAGCGGAGAACCTTAGTGAATGTTCTCGCTACTTGAGCGTCTCACGTCGAGAAGAAGGAGTACGAACTGTTAGATAACGAGACTTCCGACGGTTTCTTCTACTGGAGAAAACTCGACTTTGACACCAAAAAGATCTCGATGACTTCCCGTTAATTTACGGTAGAGGAACGGGATAAGTCTATGAAATATTTCATTTTTCGCGAAGAAACTCGCCGCCATTTATATGTCTCGTGCTTGACGAGAGATCATCATTCCAGGCAGGT